TCCCCTACCTCTTCAGAATGTCAGCCAAGGTTCTTCCTACATATGAACTAGGTTCATCTTGATGTTCACTCACGGTGTACAAGGCCTTCAGCAGCTCCCCAGTTTCACTTCCCCTAGCTTGTTGCCACTCTCCTCTATTCCTCCACAAATAGCAAGAACTTTATCTTTCTTTTTCTTTCTCTTTCTACTCGAATCTCCCTCACTTACATCTCTCACAGAACCCACCAACACAAACCTATTGTCCACCTTCTCAACTACATCAGAAAAAACATAACATGTATTTACCTCCCTAGGGTTTTCTTGATTCTTGTCTGATTCGGAAGACCCATGTTCTTCTCCATCGCTTGCAGAAACAAATGCTTCAGGGTTAGAACTCGAGTCAGATGATTCCTTTTCAGAGCTCTCCTTTTTCTAGCTGGCTCTCAAATTTTCGTTTAGAGCCGTTCTCAGAGCACCAGTAGCCACAGTTTTTCTAGCCAACATTTTCTACCGGCGAAATCTTGGTTTAGGACTGTCGCTAGGAGGTGTAGATAAGGGTGTGATAGGATATACTGGTGGGGGAGTTTCTGGATTTTCTTGAGGAGTAGTCATGGTGAAGAATTTCTGGAGAATTTTGGGGGATTTTTGGAGATTTAGAGAAAGAGATGATGATTTGAGGTTTAAGGCTTAATGACGGTTATGGACTATAATGGGAGTATGTGGAAAGTAATTAAAGTGGAGTCTGATTAGGTGCAGTAACATCAGCCTTTTTGCAGTGGTCAATCAAGAGTCTAATCCCTTTAAGACTCCGGTCTTTTAGTGACGCTTGGTTTTAAAAAAAAATCCCGTTTCCTTTAAAATTCTAGGAGAATGAAACTGGTTCAGTGTACAACGGTTCTATTTTTAGGAGTTTGTTTAGAATAGGACTTATGCTCATAATTGGAATATTTATTTTTCTATTTGTGCAAAGTATAGAAACATACCTGACCTTTTCTCATGAGCATATTCTGATGAACCAGGTTCTCCAAGTAGAACTTCTCTTGACTATGCCTCATATATCAGAATAGAAAAAAACTTTGTAAGAGATCAATGAATTAATATAAACACACGTCACAGGAGTATACTGATTAGAGTATGAGACTGAGTAAGAAGTAGTCTGGATATTTACATAAAGTCAGAACTTCTAACCAAGAATGTTTTTCTTTTCATTTTTTCATTGCATTCTGAACTGGTTCCTTTTTAGGTGATCTTAATCATCCCTAATTCCAACCTGTTCCTTTCAAATTTTTCCCTATTCAGTGCTTTGGTGAAGATGTCAGCTATTTGTTTATCAGTAGCACAAAATTCTATTGAGATTAATCCTTTCTCATAATTATCTCTCAAGAAGTGGTGTCTAACATCTATGTGCTTGGTCCTTTTATGATGAACATGGTTCTTTGTCATACTTATAGCACTAGTGTTATCACAGAATATTGGTATGCATCCCACTTCTATACCAAAGTCTACTAATTGTTGTTTGATCCACAGTAGTTGAGCACACAAGAAGCTGCAGCCACATACTCAGCTTCAGCAGTAGATAGGGCTACTGAATTTTGTTTCTTGGTAGCCCATGATATAAGACATGAACCAAGAAAGTGAGCCATACCTGAGGTGCTTTTTCTATCCACTAGGAAACCTGCATAGTCAGCATCAGCATAACCTACTAGATCGAAATTACTACCTTTAGGGTACCATAGGCACAATTCAGTAGTCCCCTTCAGATATCTCAATATCCTCTTGACAGCAGTCAAGTGAGACTCTTTAGGATTAGCTTGAAAACGAGCACAAAGTCCTACACTGAAAACAATGTCAGGTCTGCTGGCAGTAAGATACAAGAGTGAACCAATCATACCCCTATACAACTTTTGATCAACTGATGAACCAGGTTTATCATTATCTAATTTAGTGGCAGTTGCAATAGGTGTATCTATTTCTTTAGAGTCTTCCATTTTAAACTTCTT